TGGCGTCTGTTTCCAGCTCTTGGAGCCTCCCCCATGGAACGCATTGCAAACAGTCGCGCTAAGCAGAGGTCCGGGGCCAGACCCTTCCCATCCCCCTCCCCTTTCGCCCAATGTCGAAACGCCGAATAAGAAAACGTTCACCAGCTCCCGATCTTTGCCGATGGGTGGGGCAAGCGGGGGGCATCCGTTGGCGGCGGTTCGGTGTACCAGCGGATCGAACGCATGCTCCCCCTCACGGTCACCCCCCTTCTGGTGGATCCCGGTTGGTCCTCCTTGCCCTCTTGTCTCGCTGGCCCCTTGTCGCCCTGACTGGGCTGGCCGCTGTTCGGCCTGCTTTTTGCATTCCATGTGCCCGCGGCGGCGGGCGATGGGGCGGTGCGCCACCGTCCCCCCCGCGCTTGGCAACGAGAAGGAGGGTCAGGTCAGCAAGTGCCAAATAGCCCCCTACGGACGACTGCTCGATTGCGCATGGGTGACCGACCAGCGGCGCCAGGCAGAGTAGACAATACTCGACGCAACGAGCCCCCCGCGCGAAAGCTGTTAGGAATCCCGGAATCCCTGGATCGCATCAATTGCCGATTGTGTCCACAGGTTCTCCTCGTCCCATAATCAGCCCGGCGTCGGTCCGCCAGGCCGAGCGTGCGCAACTCCGAAGGGCCGAGTGGCCAGCCGCCCCGCCCGCCAGCGCCCGAAACGCGGGAGGGGTGGGCGGCGGCGGTGCCGTCGGCTGGGGTGGCGCCGGCTTGATCGGTGAGGGCAACGGGGTCGTCCGAAGAAGAACAAACTGCATAAACATAAACTTCTGGCGCTCCGCGCGGATTTCTTGGATCCGCGCCTGGGCCCCCCCGGCGGCGCCTCCGGCGCCGCCCCGGGCGCGCTCCGCGCGCCAATGAGGGGGGCCCAGCGCGGATCCAATAAATCCGCGCGGAGCGCCATAAGTGTATGCTCGTGCCGTTTTGTTATTGTTCTTCTTATTCTTCTTCTGCTTATTATTACTCTTCTTCTGATTATTATTATTCTTCTAGTCGTGCATGAGCGCCTCCGCATGGCGGAGATCATATGATGGGTGCCGTCAGCTGGGCGGTTGGCGGGGGCGTGGTGGGCGGCAGCGGCAGCAGCACAGCCAAGAAGTTGACATCGCCGCTTTCACCGGGCGCGCGCGCGTTCCTTGAAGGGGCAGCTCGCGAAGCAACAACAACAAAAACAGTCAATGAGCTGAAGTGAGCACAGCGGTGATCAGCGGTGGGCCCAGGAGGGGCACTGGATTTGGGGCTCTTCTTCGACCTTTGTTTGAAAATCCAGCCGTTCGTGGCCGAGACTCGGCGCGGCCATAGAAGCCCTGTCGTTCCTCGCTCGGGCTTCTCTGTGGCAGCACGATGGCTGTAATCAGTGGGAGTGGGGCACAGTGGAGGCCCATGCCAAGAAACACCCTGCTTGCCTCCAGGGTGCCATGGGTTTCTTGGGTCTCGATGGTTTTGCTATGAAAAACGTGACGTTCCCACATCAAAAATCAATGGACGCCCTGGGATCTCAGGGTTGGGTTTCTCGTGGACGGTTTCTTGTGGACTGGCCTCCACCTGTACGAGCGAGCCAGCTCGAACAAGCAGCGGGCCACGCCCACCCTCTCTCCCGCAGCCCTGCGAGTCGGCGTTGGCAGTGCGCTTGGCCCGGCGAGCGGAAGGCGCCCGCGCGCCGGTGTCCAGACAAAGAGAGTCCACGACGACGGCGTGAAGACAATCAGGCATGATGGCAACGACAATTGCAATATACATGTGCCCCCCCCTCCTCACCCCCAAATTGAAGTGTCCATATTTTGTGACCCGCGCGTTGCCTCGCACCCACCTCCGTCAACTTTGGGTTTGGGGGGGCGGGGGGCTACAGGAGGAATGTTCAAAAATAGTAAAAAAGTAGTCTGGGGACGATTTCTGGAGTATGTGTGAGCATTTGTTGCGCACTTCTTGGTTATTTCTTCGTCCAAAATTCGCCTGTAAGAGGACACGCCCGACCTAATCCGAGATATGAGATCGAGGTCGGTTCGGGGAGGGTGCCTACTACCCCAGTGTTCTTCGTGCTTGCTGGGTGGCCTTCTGCATCCTGTGGAGGGTACCCTTGGATGTTCCGCTCGTGTCTGCTGGGTGCTCTTGTGCATGTGTGCATCCTGGGGGAGGGTACCCTTGGATGTTCTGCGTGCTTTGGCCGGCGGAGGGTCTCATGTTCTCGAGGGATGCTCTTCTGGCCCAGGTCCGCCGCTGTATGCTGCCCGAGAGTGGGGCCGGTTGCGTCCCGCCTTCCCCCGCCCAGCCCCTCGAGCTGTGGACCTCTCACCGTGGGCGCCGCTACGCCCCTCGCCGTCCTCGTTGTTGCCTGCCGCTCTCCGGCCCCCGCGGGGGGGCCGGGAGAGCGCGGCCTGCGCGAGACTCCTCAGGTTGGCATCGCTCGGGCGTGTGGGTTCCTTCCCAGCAGGGGCCATCGCGGAGCATCCTGGGCCATCCTCAGGAGGGGGAAAACAAAAACACAGACACAATGAATCGTCGATCCCCAGGAAAATATGCGGAAGTAGAGGAAATGGGGGGGAAGACAGAAGCCCAAGAAACATGGGAAAATATGAGGAATCCTGCTATTGTTGTGTGTATTTATTTGTGTGTCCCAGGGCCCCTTCACATCGTGCCAACGAAAACGCGCACGGAGTCAAAAAGACGCACGGTGGGATTGGGCGCCCGAGCGATGGCGAGCCTTGTGTGTGGCCAGCGAAGACAAGAGGAGGGCCAGGGCCGTGAGCCTACACGCGGTGCGCCCAGGCGGAAGCGCAGCCTCAGCGGATCACTCGTCTTTGGGAAGCCAGAGCGGCCTGCGAGATTCCTGTGTGTGGCGAGTGGGGAAAGAGAGGAGGGTCTGGGCTGTGAGCTACCACGTGGTGCGCCCAGGCGGATGCGCAGCCCCCGCGGGTAGCTCGCTGGGGGAAGCCACGGAGCACTCCGTTCGCTGGCGTGCCGCCTCGTTTCCTGGCTTCCTGCATGCTTTGGAGCGGGAGTGCACGCGCGGGGCCCAAGCGGGAGCTCAAGTGCGGAGGGCAACCTGGGCTTCGTTACGAAAAGAAAATGTCGGTTTCTCTTTCTGTCTCTCTCGCGCGCGAGGCCTTGTTTCCAAAATGACTGGCGGTCGAAAACATGCCCCGAACGATCATGCAATTTTGTGGACGCCCTGCGAGTCCCCGCAAGCCCATCCAGAAACGATGCCTGGGCGAGTTGCACTGGTCAGGGAAGCGTACGAATCCGCAGTGGGACAAGGATGGGGGGTCAGCCCCCTGACCAAAGCTCGGGATCAGCCTGGGCCGACCGAGAAGCGGATTATGAGCGCCTGCTCGGGCCTTTCGATATGGGTCCGAGGCAGGAATTTATGCATGGCCACCGCCTGGAGGATCAGTTTTCGGGGACCTCGGCAGGCGGTGGATATGCACATATTCGGCCCCCAGGGGCCAAAATATATCCATATCCACCGCCCGCCGGGGCACCAGGACGTCGGTTCCCAGGCGGTGGATACGTATGGATAAATCCCCGCCTCGCAATGGGAGCCTTGTTGGAGGCAGTTCGGACCCTCTTGGGGCCATCTTGGACATCGCTGAAAGAAGAGGGGGTCCTTGGCTGTAGTAGGGTTGCCCCTTTGGGGCCCGAGCCCTCGCCGCTCTGGGGGGGGGGCCATCTTTGGCCCCTCCTGGGGCTCCCTTGGGCCATCTCGAAGCCATCTCGAGGCCCGCCAAAAGCCCATCGGAAGCGAAAAAGGCAAGAATCCACGTATCAATTGTTCTCCTGCGGCTCTCGGGATGGCTTGTGGCCTCTTGAGGGTGGCCTTGGGAGGCTCGGTGGGCACTCGGAGCCACGTTGCGGCGTCTTGATGCCACTTGGAGGCATATTGGAGGACATCTTCTACAATCTTGGACCGTCTCGCGCCGTCTTGGAGGTCATCCTGAGCCATCTTGGAGCAATGCTGGCCCAGAGGCCTCCCAAGGATGCCCCTGGGATACCAACATTTTTGAAAAGCATCGTTCTTTCCCCGATCCTGCTGCTTTGCTGCGGCCTCCTGTCCTCTCCTCTCCATCCCACACTTCCCGGCTCCGCCTCCTACCTCATGGGGACTGCGATCTGCGAGCCGCATTCGTGGGCCCCTGGGGGGTCTGGCGTAGCGCGGTCCTATCCAAACCCGAATCAGATCTCGCCGCCTTTGGTGGCTACGAACTGCGAAATCGTCGCCCGCTTTCGTTGTCTCTGGGAGGTCCAGCGTAGCAAGGTCTCATCCAGACCTGAATTAAACCTCACCGTCCCTGGGAGCTGCGAACTAAGCCGTCGCCACTTTCGCTGTTTCCTGGGGGGTGCAGCGCAGCGATATCCGATCCAGATTAATTAGACCTCGCCGGCACTGGAGGCTGCGAACTGCGACATCGTCGCCAATTTCCTAGTCTCCTGGGGGTCCAGCGTAGCGCTGTCTTATGCAGACTCGAAGTAGACCTCGCCCTCTGTAGGGTCTGCGAACTGCGAAGCTGTAGTCACTTTGATGGGCTCCTGGGGTGTCCAGCGCATGCTGCGACACCCCCCTGATCAATTCAATTCGCCTGAACCGCTCGCCCCAAGATGCCCCCGACAGGCCCGCAACCCCAACAGGGCAGTCAAATGCCCCAGTGCACTCTCAAGGTGGTTCAGTCTGGAACGGGGCGGCGAGGGCGCAGCCCTCCGCATCACTTCGCCCAAGAGTCTGGCACGATCGACCAGCGCCACGTTCGCGCCGATGGTGTTCGGAAGGCCCCTGGCCTTCTGAGAAGTTTGCTAAGCCGTCCTCGACAACACAGAAAACTTCTCAGAAAGCCAGAGGGTTTCTGAGAAGTCCCGCCGCCTCCTGAGAAGGCCTTCTCCTTCTCATTTCCCCTCCTCGCTCGCCGCCGACTGACGGTTTGGGGAGGCGGATAGTGCATGCGATGGGCCTTGCCACCCCCCCTCCTTCCCCGCAAGGGGCGCGCGGCTGCTGCCTGGAACGGCCCGGCAGCTCCCGGCCCGCAGGCCCGCGCACGTCTGGCCGCGAGGAGGGACGGACGGGACGGGCGTCGCGCGATGTCGCGCGTGCAGCGCGCGGGGGTGCGGACCGGTGTGCACTGGACAGGGAGCCTGAGGTCCCGGCGTTGCTATTTTACATACAGCACCAGATGATATAGTATACGATCTGGCTTATAATATATGTCTTAGTATCTAGTATACGATATCGTTATACCAAGTTAATAGTATATAATACAACGCAACCTCATATTACCCAGTGCGACCCTACCTAGAAGTTGGAGCCCCTAGGAAAGCAGCAGTAGTTGCTATGCTATGCTATGCTATGCCATGCTATGCTGCGCTATGCTATGCTGTGCTATGCTAAGCTAAGCTAAGCTATGCTATGTCATGCTATGCTATGTTAAGCTATGTTATGATATGCTATGCTATGCTAAGCTGCGCTATGCGCTATGCTATGCTATGCTACGCTATGCTATGCTATGCTATGCTGCGCTATGCTATTCTACGCTGGGCTATGCTATGAAACGTTATGCTGCGCTATGCTATGCTACGCTATGCTATGCTATGCTGTGCTCTGCTATGCTAAAGCTCAGCGAAGCTAAGATGAAGGTAAGCTAAGCTAAGACAAACCTGAGCTAAGATGAAGCTAAGCTAAGCTAAGATGAAATAAGCTAAGCTAAGACGAGATAAGCAACGCCAAGCTAAGTGGACGTAACTGGGGGAACCGCGGGGCGGATACTGGGGGAACCGCCCGGGCCGGTTCCCACTGCCCGGCCCTTTAAGCCAAGAGAGTAAGAACCCTTCTAGGCAGAGCCTAGGTAGGGAATAACATAGTATAGTTGTAACGCATAGTATAAAATAGTATAGCACCCGAGTTAATCTTTCATTGAGTTCGGATATAGGGCATACCATCCTATATTTAATCGACTATAATAAGATATAATGCGATAGTATCTAGCACAATATAGTACACTATAGTGAAATGTGCTATAAGTTAGAGAATAAACCAGAATGTCCAATGCAGAAGCACGTAATGCGCATAATCTATCACAAGGCAATCATACTCTAAGTTATGCCAAATTGCCAGGTCGTACATTCATTGTAGTATAATGTCACGTGATGTAACCTAATCCGATATATGAGTATCTGACATGCTATAAATTAGTAGAATACGAGATAACCTACAACGTATTGTACCAAGGTCAAGTCTACGGTGCTATACTACATGCTATCAAATAGTATCGTGTAGTACAATATAGTGCAACGCCATGCTATAGTGCAACAGACGCTAAACATATCATACTATGACATATTATTACGTGTTATGATCGACATTTGTGTGGTATGGTTTGCCAAAATTTTGTATCATATACAGTGGTACACATCCTTTGTATCATTAAGCACATAGTAAAGTATAATGGTGTTGACTACTATGTTACATGATACAGCTGTGCATTAACGAGTATATGATATATATATATATGTATATATATATGTGTTCAGATACTGAGGTGGTATAGTACAAGAGGTTATAATATTCTACACGATACCATCGTTTAATCAATTACACTATGGTATGATATATACTCATATGCGTGTACACAGGACTTGAGGCTCGCCGCGCTTCGCTTTAAAGTCTTGGCATGATGCATTAGTGCGCAGCGTGCGAGGTCGAGTTTTGAGTCTGCAGGCTCCTGGCGTCGGCGATGCGCAGGCCTGGGGTCAGGAAGGTCGTGGGCGAATGGACGTGGGGCACCTCGAAGTGCGCGCGCGCGCCAGGGGGCGCGCGCGCGAGGGGCCCAGGAAAGGGAGATGTGACGGTGAGGGAGATGTGACGGTGATGGCCGATCAGATGGGGGAGCTGGCAATGACGAAGGGTTGGCCATGGAAGTCGCTGGTTGGAGAGTGGGGCAATGGTTGGAGAGGCATGGTCGGGAAGGTCACAGGCAGCTCAATCTGCAGGGGGCATGGAAGGTGCGGTATGCGAGGTAGACCGGGGGCAACGGCTGTGGAGGCAGAGTTGGGACCAGGGCACGGCCCGCCTCGAAGTGCAGAGGCCCTGGAAGGTCTGCGGGGTAGAGTGGGGGCAAGGGGCTTCGGGAGGCCAAGCTATTCAGGGGTAGGGTTGGGGCTAGGTAGGGTTGGGGAGGCAGGGTCGGGAAGAAGGCCATGGGCAGCTTAGAACTGCAGAGGTCGCGGAAGGTGTCTCGCTGGGCCGCTTGTGGGAGCCTTTCGGCATCTCTCGGGGGCCCACTGGCGCGATCTAGTACATCTCAGGGGCCACATGGGAGGGGAAGGACCCGTTCGAGTTCCCCCACCTGGGGCCCTGTGGGGGGCCGCGTGAACCATCTTTGGGGCCTCTTGGGCCGTTATGGGACCGTCTTGGGACGATACGGGGGGCATCTTGGGCCGTCTCGGGTATTCGTAAGCCAGAAAAGGTGAGACAGCGACAGTCCTTTAAAAACGTATGGAACATCATGAGGTGCTGCTTCCGGAGGCCTGCGTGTGGCCCTCTTAGAGCCCTCTTTGGCCGTCTTCAGGGCCTCTCGGGCCGTCTTGACGCCACCATGGGCACTCTTGAAACCCTCGTGGGCCGTCGCGCAGCTCTCGAGGACCGTGACGGTGCCATCTTGGAACCTTCGACAGAGTCTGGGAGCACTTCTGGAGCAGATGAGTCCGCTGGGGCCACTGGGGCCACTGGGGCCGTTCGCTACTCCCCCTGCTGAACCTTTCGGACCGGGCTCCCAGGGATGGGTTTGGAGAGGGCAGCACGCCCACACGCCGAGGACACCCCCAAATGGGTCGGCGAGTTTGGGCCTCTTAAGTTCTAGGGCTTCAGCGAATTCATTCCTAATGCGGCGTAGTAGCTCTGCTCATGTGCTTTCGCGTGTGTGTGTGTGTGTGTGTGTGTCTAGGCGCCGATTGGCCTTCGCCTGGTCACGTTCAAGAACTATCTTCATCCGCTGCTCCGGTTGCTCAGATCGCTCCTGCCCAGGTCGCCTTCGCTTGTGCCTCATCGTCGCCATCACCCTCCTCGCCACCATCGTCACCGTAATCGCGTGCTCGCCACCATCGCCTCATCGTCATCGGCCGCCGCGGGTTTCGGCTCAGGGCCCTGGGCCGGTGGCGAGCTCTTGGCCGGCCCGCCCCCGCACGGGAGCCAGCGGCCCTCTCGTGCATCTCCTCTTGGCGCCGGGGTCTCCGGCTCTGGTGCCAAGCGCAGTCGGCTACCCGCCTGCTGGGGCGTCGATCGCCGATGGTGCCGACTCTGCAGATAGGCCAGCTCGTTGAGATCAGCGGACTGGAGGGTCCCGTGGACGTGCCCGAGGATCGGGGCCAGACTTTGGCTCACCTTTACCTGAAGTCGGGCATGTCCCTCTGCAGGGGGAATGTTAAAAATAGTCAAGACATAGTCGGGGGACGATTTGTCTAGTATTCTTTTTTTGATTTTTAATACCATTTTGAAGATGTTTTGACTATTGGTTATTTGTCGTCCAAAACCCCCCTGTAGGGGGACATGCCCGACCTAACCTTTACCGTCAGTGTCTTTTTGTCTTGCTTCTTTGGCCGCCGGCATCGTGAGAGCCGACAAGTGAATTTCCGTTTGCCCTTGTCAGCGTCTGCACTCAGGAGTTCTCATTTGTCATGGCACCAACATCGCAGAGCGGATTTCGGTCGGAAACGATAGGATGGGCCTGGGGTGTCCTGGAGAGTTTCGTTCCGGATTTCGAGGTGAATTTCGTGCGCATTTTTTGGGCCAGGGATGAAGACCAACAAAGTCCACGCGAAATTCGCGTCGTTTTTCGCTTGCCGCTTCGGGCAAAAAATCCACGCAGAAGTCCACGCAGAAATCCGCGGCAGCACGTCTGCAAGGCCGGTGCAATGACATTTGGCTCACTCGAGCCATTGGGCGGGTCCTCCGAGGAGTTTCCACGTTCCGAGGCGGGAATTTCTGCATGACCACCGCCTGGAGGGTCAGTTTCCAGAGCCTCGGCAGGCGGTGGATATGGACAAATTCGGACACCCGGGGGCCGAAATATATCATGATATGTCATGATGTGTCCATATCCGCCGCCCGCCGGGGCACCAGGACGTCGGTTCCCAGGAGGTGGACCCGGACAGGTCCCTGCCTCGCACACCTTCCCGCCCGTGGGCGCCCGTGGGCGCCCGTGGGAGCCCTGTGCCCTGGGCGGGTCCGCTGGTGGGGGGGGGGGGTCGCTCGGTGCCCGCCGGCGGGCGCCTCGTGGACACCCCGTGGCGGGGGCGGGCGGCCACAGAGCAGCCACGGCACGAGCAGCTTTCAGTCGGGCACGTCCCGCTGGAGGAGGAACACTCACAGATAGTCCGAAAATAGTCGGGGGACGATTTTTTGACCATGTTTGAGTATTTAGGAGTCTGTTTTGACTATTCGTTATTTTTCGTCCAAAGGCCGCCTGTAGGGGACACGCCCGACCTAAGAGTAGCTCACACTGCATAGCACACACCGCATACGCTGCACAACACTGTTCACACCAGATGCGCGGCACATCATCAGCTCAGGCCACACAGCTCTCACCACATACTTTACGCAACATCGCGAACACCACACTGCTCACGCAACATAGATTACGCAACATAGGTAGCACCACATCGCATACTCCACATAGCGTATCATAGTTTCCAACTTCACAGTGCAATAACTCACTGTTTGTAGCCCGCGCCCGGGTAGCATGGTTGTTCCCACCGAGAGTTACCACGATCAGGTAGCTTGTTTGTGTCAGGCTATGGTGAGCCAACGTCGACGTCCTTAAGGAGTGGCAGAAGGACCCATATGAGGGACCTCAAGAGTTGAATGGGCAGTTCGCACAGCTTACGCAGTATGACGAGGCCAGTAGCAAGTGGACTCTGGCCACCTTTGGTGCCGATATGTTCGCGTTGGAGGAGTACTACCTGAGGCCCCTCTCAGCTGGCGACGTTGAGGGGTTCGACATATTTCTTGGGCCGGCCTCGGATCAGCACGTCTTAGGGAACGAGATTGTTGGCCTGATAGCTAGCCAAGGGCACGCGGTTTGCAAGTTGTTCGTCAGTCAGGCAGATCTTGACGGGATGCTGAACACGGCGTCGATGTGTCAGTCGAGCGGTTTGTTCTCGCGGTTGCCGTTGGAGTTGGAACCAGGATATTTAGGCCGCGAAGGCACGGCCAAAACGTTCTCCCTCGAGTTTGACAGCAGCGACACTCCAGATTTCGTCAGAGACTCGCCGCTGCAGATCTTCGACCGAGCTATTAATGCTGTGGGGTCGATGCTGCGGCCGTTGGCAGAGGCCGAGCTGGGCTACGATGTCTTCAGCGTGACAAACAGTATGCTCGCAATGCCCTTCGAGGGTGATGAGGAGGACTACGTGACCCCAGACGTCGAGAGTTCAGTTCAGCCTGATCCGTTCATTGGGGCGCGATCAGGTCGCTGATCTGTTGATCGATCGGAATTCGGATCGGGGTGGTCGGTTCGGTTCTCAATCAACGGAGTGCACTGCGATCTGAGCTGGGTCGGGCAAGTTAGCTCAAGATCGGGAGCAGGCGTTGGATCAGCTGGGATCGGGAGATGCTTCTAAGGTCGAGAACCAGGACGCTGCTGATTTTCTCGCCATGATGTGGCGCGCCAAGCTCACGGTCGTCGCCAACGTCGGGCCGTCCACGGGCACCCTGACGCTGCTGCCGAAGCAGCCCGGCGACGAGGAACGCGAGCTGCGCTTGGCCCCCGCTTCCTTTGCGCTCGTCGCCATGGACCGCTTCAAGTGGTCGTTCGCGACCGGCGGCCAGGCACTCTACATGACAGCATTCCTGCTGGACACGCCCAAGGAGTACCTCATCGACAAGGTTGCCGGCGACTTGGTGCAGCTCGTCGGAGGTCCGACGGGGCCCGGTGTGCCGAAGAAGAATGAGCAGGTGGCCGTCGCCGCCATGTCGGAGCGCTACGCTTTTGGCGTGGACTGCGCGTGGAAGCTCTGGCTGGGCTACGCCAAAGCCGGCTTCGACGTGCAGGTCCGGCACCCCTTCGAGCGCTGGGACTGCGACGAGTACTACCAGGAGACTGCTTCTTCGGGTCTCTGGCGTTCGCCCGGGTGATCGGGCCGGCCCGCCGCGCCACCCACCCCCCAGAGAACCTGACCTTGTCGGCCGCGCAGGTCCGAAGGGGGTGCGCAGCACCAGTGCCCGCGGGTCTGCGTGAAGCGAAAAGGTTAGGGGTTCTCGGCTGGCACCTCCCACCCCGTCCAGCGGATACCCCAGGCAATCGCCGAAAAATAGAAAACCGTCTCCAGGAGACCGTCTCCAGGAGGATGCCGACATTATTTCGACGACAACGTTGACGACGACGACGACGACGGCGGCGGCGACGACGACGACGACGACGGCGGCGGCGACGACGACGACGGCGGCGACGACGACGACGGCGGCGGCGGCGGCGGCGGCGACGACGACGACAACGGAGGCGGCGGCGACTACGGCGACGCCGGCGACGACGACGGCGACGACGGCGGCGACGACGACGACGACGACGGCGACGACGGCGATGGCCTATAGAAAGCCTTGGCATCCCTCGGACGTGTGCATTTTCCTCGGCGAGAACCATCGAGGAGCATCCTGGACCATCGGAAAAAAGCACGCACGAATCGAAAAATGCACGGGGAGTGGACGTCCGAGCGATGGCGAGAAGCGATCTCCGTGTTCGTTTTGATTCCGCTGTGCAGCAAAGGAGGTGGACGAAGACCGAACGAGGGAGAAACGAAAACAATAACGAGAACGACAGACACCGTTCTGATCGAGCCCTACCAGGCGATCGTTTTTGATTCATTGTTTTGCCGATCGGCGCGGGCCCTCGCACCCCCCCTCCACCCTTCCCCCATGGAGTAGATCTTGGCTGTTTGGGGCACCTGTTTCAGGCAAGTGGAAGTCTCCCCCACAGGACGCACTGCCGCAAACACTCGCACTGAGCAGAGGTGTGGAGCCAGACCCCTTCCCCCTCCCCCCCTTCCGCCCAGTGTCGAAGCGCCGAGCAAGAAAACGGTCACAAGAATACCGTCTTGGTCGAGCCCTGCCAGGAGGATGCCGACCCAACCTCGGGGTACTCGTACACTTGCCACGGCGGCTTCTCCGACGGCATCGAGCTCTTCGACTGTAAGTTCTTCGACATCTCCCCCGCGGAGGCGCGCACCATGGACCCGACGCAGCGGCAGGTCCTGGAGGTGCCGGGGGCTACGTTCGGGTTAAGGCGGGTATGTCTCTCCACGAGAGGAATGTTCAAGAACAGTCGAGAAATAGTCTGGTGACGATTTTCCGTGCTCTTTGGACCATTTCTGTTTATTGTTTGATTATTGTTTGATTTTCTTCCAATATCTGCCTGTAGGAGGACATGCCCGACCTAACTTTACGGGGGGGCTTTGAAGGGGGAGGCCCAGGGAACCTCAAAGCAGGGGTTCTGATTTTCCAGGTCCTCGTAGCTTTAATTCTCTGGGTCCTCATTTGCGGCGGCCCCCGCTCTTCTCCTCTCCTTCCTGTTCTGCCCTCTTCTCCTCTTTTTTCCGTGAGGCGGACTATAGCGATTGGGCTGTAGCGTTCAGGTCTCCTCTTCCTCCTCGTCGTCCTCCTCCTCCTTTCTCCTCCCCCCCTTCGTCCCCCTCCCTCCCCCCTTTTTCGAAGGTTCTGGGGGTCGACTGGGGGTCTGAGGACTGAGGTGGCCCAGCATCGGTTCCGGCCAGCAGGAACGGGGGGGACGAGGTTCGAGGTTCTGGGTTCGGGACGGCTTTTTGTTTGCCTTTCTGGCCCTCTCGGGGACCCGCTTCGAGCCCCAGGACCACGAACGGATCTGGGGTGCAAGCTGCACCACGTGGACCCCCAGCAGGGGTCTAAGGGCTGATTTTGAGCGGACTTGGCTTCCTTCCCCCCGTCTTGGCCAAGTTCCTCGGGGCCCATCTGGAGGGTTTCTCCGAAGGGCTTCGGCGACACGTCCTCCTCCTCCTCCTCCTCCTCCTCCTCATCCTCATCCTCCTCCTCCTTCTCCTCCTCCCTCCTCCTCCTCCTCCTCCTCCTCCCCCTCTCCTCCTCCTTCTCTCCTCCTCCTCCTCATCCTCCTCCTCCTCCTCCCTCCTCCCCCTCCTCCTCATCCCTCCTCCTTCTCCTTCTCCTCCTCCGCCTCCTCCTCCTCCTCTTCATTCCTCCTCCTCCTCCTCCTCCTTCTCCTCCTCGGGTCGCCTACGGATCACCCCTGGTTATGAAGGGTTGACCCGGTAAGTGCATTCGAGCCTGTTCAGTCGTCAACGGGGGGGGTGTTAGTGGTGGAGCGTTTCCGCCGTTTCAATTTCGATCGGACCCCCGGTCATTTCTCCCAAGTGGGGAGACTGCCTGCGCGCGATTTGTCAGTTGTCGGCTTCTGCTGCTGCTGCTGCTGCTGCTGCTGCTGCTGCTGCTGCTCAATGCTGCTGCTGCTCGCACGGTTCCAAGCGGCCCCCAGAGGCCCCAAGAGGCCCCCAAGAGCGCCCCAAGACGCCCCCAAGAGCGCCCCAAGAAGCCCCTGTCCAACGAATTGTGTCGTGCCAAGCCAGAGTGATTTACTCATAAGATGATTATGCAATGCGTCAAAGGCTTTATTCATGGCCGAAGTGGGGTGTTGTGTTAAGTTGGGTTGTCATTGTTCGAGAACCCCCCCTCGTGTGGCGCCGTTGGAATCGTTATTTATCGTTCCAGGGGGGTGAGTTAGTGTTAGTCAGGTTTTTCATTCGTCACGGCTGAGGGAAGGTTGAGTGTTTCGCGATTTATTTTTATGATTCAAGCCTGCTGCGACCAGGGTCCAGCGTTGTATTGCCGGGGTTAATGCCTACGGCCCCAGGGGAAACCGTGCAGGCCCATGCAGCTCGGAGAGTCAGCCCGCGTGGCCGCCTCCAAGGGAGGGTCGGAGGGTCGGCCCGCGTGGCCGAGCTGGTTCGGGGGAGTCCCCCTCTCCCGGGCGGGCCTTCGGCGAGTGAGGAGGCTTCGAAACATCAGTTCCGCGAGCTGGTTTCCAAAGTTCCATCTCTCTCTCTCTCACTCTCTCTCTCTCTCTCTCCGGTCTCTCCCCCCTTTGGGCAGTTCTGCAGGTGTTTTACATGTCACTGGCGGGCGCAGGATTTGAGAAGAAGAGGCTGCAGACAAAGGCGGCGAACGTGGCGACGTTCTGTGGCCTCGACAAGAATGAGTGGAACTCCTTGCCCAAGGACGATGACGGAGGTGGTTTCGGGGCCTCCAGCAGTGCGAACTCCATCACCTCGAATCGCTTCAATTACTGCCTGAACCTGAAGGGCGCCAGCATGACCATCGACACAGCCTGCTCGTCGTCTCTGGTTGCGTGCCACACCGCCAAGCTGTACTTGCTCTTCAAACATTTCGACCCCTGCGAGGCTGTCATAGGAGGCGGCGTGAACCTGAGCCTCAGCCCGCACACATACGTCGGCTGTTGTGCGGCCACGATGCACTCGCACATAGGACGGTGTTTGACCTACAACGCTTCTGCAGACGGCTACGCACGTGGGGAGGCCACCGCGGCCGTGGCGCTGAAGCTGCAGAATTTCGACATCGACTTGGGCCACTATGCACTGGTGGCTGGAAGCCAGGCCAATCAGGATGGGCGCAGTGCAAGCCTCACCGCTCCCAACGGCCCAGCTCAGGAGCGCTGCTTTGCGGCCGTGATGCGCGAGATTGGCATCGGGCCCAAAGAGATTGACACCACCGAGTGCCATGGCACTGGGACTGCGCTGGGAGACCCTATCGAGATTGGGGCGTACCGCAAGGTGATGAGCACGTCGGCCCGCTCCGACCCTGTCGTGATTACCTCGTCGAAGTCGAACCTTGGGCACTGCGAGGGGAGCGCGGGCGTCTCTGGTCTCAAGAAGTGCGTACTGATGTGCATGTACGCGGAGGCCACCCCGAACTGCCACCTGAACGGTTTGAACCCACACTTGGACATGGCTGGTTTTCCCGGCGTCATCACTTGCGAGGGCACCCCGTTCAAGGGGGAGAGCTCCTACAATGGAGTCCTCTCGTTCGGCTTCGGTGGGACGAATGCCTCTGCCACGTGCTGGGGGGTCAACCAGGTCACCTCTCGAACCAACGCTTCCAAGAGCATCGAGTCCGTTGCTCTGAAGAAGGTGCAGGATGCGCCAGCACAGGAGGTGACCATTACCGGCGACGACTGGGAAGACTGGGAAATGGAGGGCCCTGAGAAGGACGCGAAGCCAGGCGACACGTGGGAGATCGAGCTTGACGACGACGGCTCTCTCATTTACACCCGCGTCGAGAAGGAAGCCCCCGACTTCGGGTCCGCGTACGACATCACTGGCACCTTCAACGACTGGAAGCTGGATCCCCTGGAGCCGTCCATGGAAGTCAATGGCCTGTACACAGCGCTCATCGAGGTGGGTCCCACAGGCAGCGTGGATTTCCAGATTGTCGCCGACGAGGACAGGGGCATGACGTTCTTCCCAGACGTGTCGAAGTGCCGACTGAAGTCGGCGCTGGTCTGTGGGCCGGACCAGGCGGAGCGCGAGAATTGTTGGTGCATCGTCGGTTCGCCTGGGGAGAGGTACCGGGTCGAATTCTACAAGTCCGACGCTGACACGTTGTCGGTATCTTGGATCCGCGACGGCCCGTTGTTGGGTGCCCAGGCCAGCATCGCGCTGGGCGGGGGGGATGGGCAGGAGTGAGTGTCGAAGTCAGCGCTTCTGAGCACCTCGTGGCGAGGGCGTGCGAAAGAGCTAGCCAGCCAGAAGCAGCCTGACGTGTTGGCCCGCCCACCTCCCTTGAGGGTGGCCCGGCCTCCAGGACAGTCCAAGCACTCCCTCCCTGCGAGGGTTGAGCCAACCCGCTTGCAGCAGGTAGGTAGTCTCATTTTCCGAGCCTGGCTGGTTACAGCAGGATGTGGCTAGGGGCTAGGTGCTGCTTATAACCCCCCATCGCGTTTCTATTACGTCATTGTCTTGTCTATCGGACATCCCGTTCCCCTGCGTTGTGGACATCTGCATTCTTCGTTGTATATTGGCCTGGCCACTTCAGTTTGCAGCGTGTGGAGTGCGCAGGGGTGACCGCCGAGCAGTTCATCGTCATCGTCGCCGTCTTCATCGTCGTCTTCCGAGAGCTATGCGAGTTGAAATGCAGTGCAAAACTAAGAACCAGGACATGTTTGGCATCTCGGCTGTCTTCTCTTCCCTCCTTCCTCCCCCAGGCTCATTCTCCCTATTATTCGTTTTGTCCTTCTCCTGCTCCTCCTCCTCCTCCTCCTCCTCCTCCTCCTCCTCCTCCTCCTCCTCCTTCCCTCCTCCTTCCCTCCTCCTCCTGCTTCCCTCATATACTCGAACAGGTCGGGACCACAAGTCGGAGACGAAGCAATCAAAACGCGAGACATCGTGCGTGCCATCGCGTTGGGCCCGAGGTTTCCCAGCCCAGCGCGCGCCTGCCCGTCCACGTCGCTCCATTTCCGCTCGCGTCAGGATCAAAGGCGGTGGATCTGGATATGATCGGGCCTTGGGTTGGCGCGAATACATCAATACATCCGCTGCAATCTGGGGTCCTGGGACATCGCGAGGAGGAGGAGGAGGAGGAGGAGGAGGAGGAGCCGTGAGCTCAGGGTGGTCCCCTGAGTGCTGGTGGGGGCGCCACACCCGCGACCAGCTAGAAGGAGGAGGATGAGGAGGAGGACGAGGACGAGGAGGAGGGGGAGGAGGAGGGGGAGGAGGAGGTTGAGGAGGAGGTTGAGGAGGAGGTTGAGGAGGTGGAGGAGGAGGAGGTGGAGGAGGTGGAGGAGGTGGAGGAGGTGGAGGAGGTGGAGGAGGGGGAGGGGCAAGAAGGGGGGACCCAAACAACAGTTCTGAGAGGGTAACAGGGCTAATCCTTGAAACAGCCGTAAACTCTTGAGACGACTGCGCGCGGCGCTACAGTCAACTCGCGTAGTAAGGATGAGCAACGTTCCAAGGCTACCCTTGCATCCCTCCCTGCGGCCCATCCTTGCCCGCTTTCGCTGCCCGCGTCCCGCTCGCAAAGTGTTGGCATGGCCTTCTAAGGCCCGTGCATCCTTATCGTGCATTCTTATTCGATGGGTTGACTGTAAGGCGAGAGCCACATTTTGAGAAGGAGCCGCCGTGCATCCGTGAGACGCTTGCATTTTTTAGGGCGAATGTGCGCGGCGCTGCGGCGGGAGCCACATTTTGAAAAGGAACCGGCCTCCATCCGTGAAGCTGCTGCAGTTGTTGAAAACGAATGCGGCGCTACGGCGAGGGCCACACTGAAAAGGAACGCCCTCCATCCTTGGAGTTGTTGCAGCTGTTGAAACGAATGTGCGCGGCGCGAAGGCGAGAGCATCATTGTGACAGCGTCCCGCCCTCCATCCGTGAGACTGCTGCACTTGGTTGCGACGAATGTGCACGGCGTTCAGGCGAGAGCCACATTTTGAAAACGGCCCGCCCTCAATCCAGGAAACTGCTACGTATTGTTCAAACCAATACGCGCAGCGCTAAGGCGAGAGCCTCATTTTGAAAGCGGTCCGCCCTCCATGTAACGATTGCATTAGTTTAAGATGACTGCGCGCGGCGCTAAGGCGAGAGCCACATTTTGAAAGCGACCGGCCCTCAATCCGTGTAGCGCTTGTTTTGTAAGACGAATGTGCGCGGCGCTACGGCGAAAGCCTCATTTTGAAAGCGACCCGCCTTCCATCCGTGAAACTATTGCAAATTGCAAGCCTAAGGATCACATATGGTGAGGAAGTATTAGGCGAAACGCCTGGCCCGCACTGCCGACACGTCTCGGGGTGCGACAGGGAGGAGTTATTCCTAAGGAAAAGAGTTTGGGGAGGAGGAGGGGCAGGAGGAGGAGGACGGGCAGGAATCCTCCTCTTTCTCCTTCTCCTCCTCCTCCTCCTCCTCCTCCTCCTGCTCTCCTTTTTTGCCTCCTCGTCGCCTCCGCCTCCCACGCCTCCTCCGCCTCCGCCTCCTCCGCCTCCTCCTCCTCCTCCTCCTCTTCTTCCTCCTCCTCCTCCTCCTCCTCCTCCTCCGCCGCCTCCGCCTCCGACTCCGCCTCCGCCTCCGCCTCCTCCGCCTCCTCCTCCTCCTCCTCCTCCTCCTCCTCCTCCCCCGCCTGCTCCTCCACCTCGCCTTCTTCGTCTTGGAGCGTGGTCCCGCTCTCGGCTGCCCGTCCCCTGTGCCGAACGAGCCGCCTCCCGAGCGCGCCCGCCTGCCTCTGCCCGTTGTGGCCCTGCGGCCTGGCCGCGCCGACGTCGCGGCCTCGCATTTCTGGGCAGCCTCGCCAGACAGGACGCAGCGCTGGGAACTGAGCGCGAGGAGGGGAATGGGGAGGAGGGAGGAGGAGGAGGAGGAGGAGGAGGAGGAGGAGGAGGAGGGAAAGGAGGAGGAGGGAACGGAGGAGTGGGAGGAGGAGGAGGAGGGAACGGAGGAGTTTGAGGAGGAGGAGGAGGAGGAGGAGGGGGAGGAGGAGGAAGGCAAACGCCACAGCGGTTTTGCTCAGGTCGGTCTAACGTAAAATGGAGGAGGAAGGAGGTGGAGGAGGAGCAGAAGGAAGGGGAGGAGGAGGAGGAGGAGGAGGAGGAGGACGAGGACGAGGAGGAGGATGCAAAAGAAGGGGAGGATGAGAAGGAGGAACTCACTCCAAGATGCCTCTTCATAGGCACCTGCAAGCGGTCATATCGACTGAGGGAATTGCCCCGTTGGGGGACAACCGTGTGAAAATCTCGGCGCGCATTTAAACACTATTCTCAGGACTTCAACGCCACGGGTTAATATGACTATTACGTCTTGGCGATCCTGAATCGTGCCAGCGCCATTTCTGGGACGTCAACACCGCGAATCAATGTAACTACTGCGCCTTGGCAATCCTGAAGCGTTCCAGCGCACCGTTTCCCGTACGTTAGCAATGGTAACCAGTGACATATTTGCAGCTGTTTAAATCGAATGTGCGCGGTGTTAAAGCGAGAGCCACATTTTGCAAAGGAGCCGCCCTCAATCCGTGAAGCCATTGCACATGTTTAGCGCGAGTGTCCGCGGCGCGTAGGCGAGAGCCTCATTTTGAAAACGGCCCGCCCTCAATCCGTGAAACTCTTTTACGTGCTTGAGACTCAATGTGTGCGGCGCCAAGGCGAAAGCCACATGTTGGAAACCGCCCGCCTTCATATGTGAAACTCTTACAAAGTTTTGAAACGAATGTGCGCGGCGGGGGCTAAGGCGAGAGCCGCATGTCGAAAACGACCCGCCTTCAATCGTTTAAATGCATGCAAATTTGCAAAGAGAATGCGCGCGGCGCTGAGACGAGAGCCACAGGTTGAGAACGACCCGCCCCAGATCCATGAAGCTTGTACAGTTTCTGTATTTTTAAGCAGAATGCACGCGGCACTAAGGCGAGAGTCACATGTTGAAAACGACCCGCCCCCAGTCCGCGAAGTCCTGGCAATTTGTTAGAGATAATAAGCGCAGCGCTAAGGCGAGATCAACATTTTGGGAGCGATCCGCCCTCAATCTGCGAAGCGGTTGTCAATGTTTCAGCATCGAGATCATAGATGGCGAGGAGGTATCAGGCGAACCGCCCAGCCCGCCCTTTCGGCCGGCCTCGGGGTGCGACAGGGAGGAGTTATCTATGAGGAAAAGAAAGCGAGGAGGAGGAAGATGAGGAGGAGGAGGAGGGGGAGGAGGAGGAGGAGGGAAGAGGATGATGATGATGATGATGATGATGATGATGATGATGATGATGATGATGATGATGATGATGATGATGAGAGGAGGAGGAGGAGGAGGAGGAGGAGGAGGAGGAGGAGGAGCTTGAGGAGGAGGAGGAGGAGGAGGAGGAGGAGAGGAGTAGGAGAGGGAGGAGGAGGAGGAGTAGGAGGAGAAGGAGTAGGAGAGGGAGGAGGAGGAGGAGGAGGAGGAGTAGGAGGAGGAGGCGGGGGAGGGAGGAGGAGAAGGAGGAGGAGGAGGAGGAGGACCATAGTAAAACCAATACGTATCAACCATGTTGCAATACACCCCCCTGTAAGTTCCCTCATAGGCTCCTTCAAGAATTGATTCCTGACCTTCCCTCTGGTTGGGTTCTTGTTCTGAATATAGCACTGTGGTCTCCACCCCTTCCTTCCTCCTCCCTCCTCCTGCCTCCTTCTTTCCCTTTTGTCATAGCTTTTCTACGCGATCCCTCGGGGGCTGCGAACTGCGCAACTGGGGGGCGCAGTGGTGTCCTACGCAGACCCAGACAAGACCTCGCCCTCCCTCCATGGGGAGCTGCGCTCTGCGCAGCTGTCGCCACTTTCGTAGGTTCCTTGGAGGGCCAGCGCAGGCGTGTCCTACGCAGACCCAGGCTAGATCTCGCCATCCCTGGGGGGCTGCGATCTGCGCAGCCGTCGCCACTTTCGTGGGCTCTGGGAAGGTCAGCGCACTGGTGTCTTGCGCAGACCCAAGCTAGACCTCGCCGTCCCTGGGGGGCCTGTGCTCTGCGCAACTGCGGCCACTTCCGCGAATCCCCGGGAGGGCCAGCACTGTGGTGTCTTGCGCAGGCCCAGGCTAGATTCCGCCGTCCGTGAAAAAAGGAAGGATTTGCGAGACTGCCGCCGCCATTTTCGTGGGTTCCTGGGGGACCCCGCGCAGTGGTGCCCCAGGCACGCCCGGGCAAGACCTAGAGCCGTCCCCGAGGGCCTGCGATCTGCGAGACCGTCGCA